GTAGGCTACGCAGAGCTGGAGCGGGTGGGGGTGGACGAGGTCTGGCCCGGAGAATGCTCTCACTGTGACCTCAGCGCTCAGAGACGCCCGCACGGCCGGGAAGGCAAGTCGGCAGGCTCCGCGCTGGCAACGGAATGTGGCTGTTGCACTGGGAGCTGAGTGGCCGCTTATCTCGCGGGTTCCTTTGGCTCTCGAGGTGCTGCTCGAATTGACCTGCGACCTGTGGCTTTTGCTTGCTGTTGGGAGCAGGTGCTCCGGCCCGAAGGTCCACGTCGGGCACTGGACTGTTCAATAAAGGAGCTTCCTCTCCCTCCTCCGGTCTCAGCCCTTCTCTGCAGACAGGCCATGACTCCATCCGTGTCTGCGCCCGACCACCACAGCCCAGCAGGCTGGTGGCCCAGGGAACCAGCCCGGACCCCAGGTCGCACGAAGCCCTGCCCTGCCTCCAGGTTCCTTTCCTTATCTCTCGCTTCAGTCTGGGGGCCAGCAGGTGGCATAGTGATTAGGCGCTGGACTCCTACATGACTAGGTGCGGGTTCAAGCCCCAGATCTGGCAGCTTGAAACTCCTCCCAGGCTTATGTGCATGTGTGCCCAAAATCCCAGGAGAAGGGAATGCGGTGTGGCCACCCTCAGGGTGATTTCTCATTTCTCCTCTCACTGTTCATCTCTCTGATGACCGCATGTGCCTTATGGCAAAAACCTTTCAAAAATAAATTCTGTGGGGCCAGCCGATTGGCGGGCATTGCTGGATTCCCACATGGCTGACTGTAGTTCGCTATGGGCAGCGCCTGGACAGAGGGAAGCCCAGTGCTCACGTGACATGTGGCCCTGCAGATGCCACCCTGCCCGACAGAACCTGTCCTTGGCATTGCACCTTCCTCCCAGGGAGACCTTGACTGTAATTAATTAATTGGCCTAATTAAGTTTGGATTAAATTAGCACCTTCTCCTTGGGGGAGGGTGCTGAGGGGGAGGTAGGGAAGCTCCGCCTTGAGGCGGTGGCTATCCCACCAGCCGCGGGGAGTGCCGCAGGTGGGAGGCTGGTGTGGCTGACAATGGCCTGAACCCTCGCATGCGTTTTCCACTTGCTTATTTAAAATTCTCGTTACTGCCAGAGAGTCCCGGTGGGTGTGGTCATGTGCAGCCCTTTCTCCTCTGGTTTCCCACCCAGTCTGGATGTGAGGCGCCCGCGCCGTGTGCGGCTGTGCAGCGTGGGTTTGAGGCCCCTGGGCTGGGGCGTGACTCGTCCACGGCTCGTTCTGTGACTTCCTAATTTCAACCCTAAGGTATGGGTTAGCTTGTAGAGCTGTGGTTAGGACAGCTGCAGCCCGCATGGCCAACTGCATAGTTCAGTCTGGACCTAGTGGCTTGAAAACTAGGGGCCAGCAGGTGGTATGGTGGTTAAGGGCACTGTACTCCCACATGACCGACCGTGGTTCGAGTCCTGGACCTGGCGGCTTGCTTTCTCACTTCCTCCTGCCCCCGTCCCTCTCTGGTCAAATGAAAATAAATTAAGTAAATAAGCAATAAAAAATATTTCTTTATAAATAAATAAAGTTAAGTAAAAATAATTTTTAGAGAATTATTTATTTCTTTATTTCACGTGAGTTTTTGCCAGAGAAAGACAGTGAGTGAGAGTTAGAAAACAAGCAGCCAGGTCCAGGACTTAAACCGCGGTAGCCCATGTGGGAATTCCAGTGCCTTAACCACCACACCACCTGCTGGCCCCAAATAAAAAATAATTCTTAAAATAAATAAAGAAAAAGAAAACCATGCCAGGCACTTGTGTATGCATGCCCAAAATCGCAGAGGAAGGCTGGAGGGTTTGCCCGTGCACAGCCCTCGGGGGCTGGTTCCTCACGTCCTCGCCCTCTCTCTGTCTCTGGTGAGCGCACTCACGCCTTAGTAAAACCATCGTCACGTCCCCACCCGCTTGAGCATGTCCTTGGCATCTGTCACGCCTGGTCACTGCTGTGCAGCTGTCACCACCTGCATCTTGGAATGTGTCCCCTGTGTGAACTGCTGCTCTGTCCCCAAGAGCCCAGCTCCCAGCCCTCCAGCCCTGGTGCCCCGTCTCCTTCCTGCCTCGTGGGGCCACCTAGCAGTGGGCCCTGCAGACTGCCACTGGCTCGCCCCACGGGCCAACTGAGTGGGTTCCTGCAGAGAGGATGACCACATCCCATGTGCCACCCATGCCCACGGACACGGATGCCCACCGTGGAGAGCGTTCTGAGCTGAGTCCCTGCTTCCAGGTCTTGCCACTCAACGTTGGAATGGAAGCCTGCTTGTCCTGTTGGTACTTAGCCAATTTCAGGCGGGGGCTGAGATGTGGGGGCTCCTGAGGAGGGCGTTAAGTTTCTGCAAAGCGGACCTGACCAGCAGTCTTGGCTGGCTCCTGTGAGGTGACACCTGGGTTCTGGGGCCCTGGGCTCTGTCCCCGTCCTCTGGAGAGCACAGGGACGGTGCTGGCTTTGTCTGCACGCGGCTTCGCGTAGGGACCGGTGGGCAGCCCTTGCCATCCCACCCGACCCCTCGTTTCTAGTGAGCGTGCCTTACCTCGTGAGCCCCCGTGGCCACACTGAGATGGGGCCACAGCTGGGACCACCAAGGAGCAGTGGCCCGTCCGGGCTCCCCAGGGCCCCTGGAGGCAGATGCAGAAGAGCCCCGCTGCCCGGGCTCGAGTGTGGGGATGCCCACGTCCCTCCTGCACAGAAGCGTGCGGGTGCTTGAGCCCCAGCAGTCCCCAGTGCTGCTCCGGCGGCGCCCCGGGAAGCACTGGTGAGGGAGGCAGCCTCGCTGTCTGGCTTCGCAGTTGAGAGCCTATGTGGGGGATGGTCATTGGAACCCTCCTCTCCCCTCCCCTCTGTCACTGATTATCCTCCCGTCCTCCTGGGCAGCCATCCTTGCCTTGGGGAAGGCCAGGGCCGAGTTTCTGCAGGGTCTGGGAACTGGACCCTGCAGCAGCTGCAAGATGTGGGACCCCCTGAGGAGAGCAAACCAGAGACCCCACGACCAGGCACGGGGCAGGCTGGCCTCTGAGAGAGGCACAGAGACAGCTAACGGGGTCCCAGAGCCTTTGCGACTCGGCCTCAGGAGCACCCAGGTTGAGCGGCCCTGCTCCGACTGAGCTCCCTACCCTTGTCCAGCGTGGTGACACGGGGACCTGAGGCCTCCCTCGTACTCCCTCACATGGTCTCCTGATGACTGGGGGCCCTTCGGGCCACCTCCGGACGGGAGGCGCATGCCGGCCCTGCACTCGTATGGTGCCCACTGCGGCTGTCAGCCCTCTGCAGTGTTACGCAGGTCCCAAAACAGCCGCAGCCCTGGGCCCGGCCGTAGTGTCCCTCTGCACTGTACCCAGAGCACCACCAGGCAGGACCCCTCTCAGAAAGGACGAGTCCGAGAAGCTGGGTGCTCTTCCCACCACAGCCCACACGGTCGCACCATCCGAGCTGTGGAGGGCTGGCTGCGAGTCTGCCATGCCTCTGCCCCTGCGCCCGGGGTCCACGTGGACGAGGGAGTGGCCCGACCTGGGCCGGGTACAGCTGGCCCATCTGCGAAGTGCAGGCAGCCACGTGTCCCAGCGCCCGGCTGCAGCAGCAACAGGCACCTTTCTACCCAGGGCGCTGTCAGCTCTCCAGGCTGCAGCCCTCTGCCAGGGCACAGGGGAAGCTGCGCTGCGTGTACACGTGCCAGTGGGGCTTACTCCCCGGCCAGCACCCTCTCCTGAGTGCTGGCGCTGGCCCTCCCCAGCACGCCTGGCTCTCTCTGTGCCCTCCCACCTCACAGCTGACAAAAGCTAAGAAGTCTTTTTTCCCTCTTCTCAGTCTACTAAGTGCAAAGGGCCAGAGGGCCAGCAGGTGGCATGGGGTTAAGGCACTGGACTTCCATATGGCAGGCTGTGGTTCAAGTCCTGGACCTGGCAGCTTGAAAATCATGCTGGACATGTGAACGTGCATGCCCCAGATCCCAGGAGGAGAAGGAATTGCCTAAGGCCACCCTCCCAGGGGGTGATTCTCACTTTCTGTCTCCTCTCTGGCGAGGAGAGCATACACACTCAATTGCAAAGCTGGTGGCACTGGATCCCACATGGCCCACTGCAGGGTTTGAGTTCCAGACCTGGTGGTTAAAATGAAAAAACGCCAGGCACCTGTGTGTGTTCCTGAGTCCTGAGAGGGGCATGGAGAAGAGATTGCTATGTCACCCTCCCGGGGGTGCTTTATCGCTTTCTCTCCTCTTCCTCTCTGGTGAGCACACGCTCCTCATACCAAAAAAGAAAAAGGACAAACAAGGGTGGGGTGTCATGACCCCATCTGTCACCTGGGCCCCTCTGTCACACCACCCCTCCCAGCCGCCCTGACTCAAACCTGGATTCTGTTTATCCCTTCATTTATTCTTTTATCTATTAAAAAAAATGTTAAGGCCAGAGGGGTCAGCAGATGGCGTAATGGCTATGTCGCTGGACTCCCACGTAGTCGACCGAAGCTGGTGGCTTAAACTCATGCCGGGTGCATGTGCGTGCGTGCCCAAGATCCCGAGAGGAGAATGGAGAAGGGATTGCGCATGGCCATTCCCCCTGGGGGGCGATTTCTCGCTTTCTGTCTGTCTCGCCAGTGAGCACACATGCACTATAACAAAAATTTTTCTTGAAAAAGAAATTATTGCCAGAGGGGTGTGTGCGCTTGGCCAGAGAGAGAGACAGAGGTGGGGGAGCACCTCTCAGTGGCCACACAGTCCTTTTCTCTCCACCCTCCTCCTTCCAGACTTCTGGGCATGTGCGCACATAGGCCTGGTGTTTGTCAAGGCACTGGGGCTAGGGCTTCAACCATGTGGCTCTCTCTGTGCCCTCCCACCTCACAGCTGACAAAAGCTAAGAAGTCTTTTTTCCCTCTTCTCAGTCTACTAAGTGCAAAGGGCCAGAGGGCCAGCAGGTGGCATGGGGTTAAGGCACTGGACTTCCATATGGCAGGCTGTGGTTCAAGTCCTGGACCTGGCAGCTTGAAAATCATGCTGGACATGTGAACGTGCATGCCCCAGATCCCAGGAGGAGAAGGAATTGCCTAAGGCCACCCTCCCAGGGGGTGATTCTCACTTTCTGTCTCCTCTCTGGCGAGGAGAGCATACACACTCAATTGCAAAGCTGGTGGCACTGGATCCCACATGGCCCACTGCAGGGTTTGAGTTCCAGACCTGGTGGTTAAAATGAAAAAACGCCAGGCACCTGTGTGTGTTCCTGAGTCCTGAGAGGGGCATGGAGAAGAGATTGCTATGTCACCCTCCCGGGGGTGCTTTATCGCTTTCTCTCCTCTTCCTCTCTGGTGAGCACACGCTCCTCATACCAAAAAAGAAAAAGGACAAACAAGGGTGGGGTGTCATGACCCCATCTGTCACCTGGGCCCCTCTGTCACACCACCCCTCCCAGCCGCCCTGACTCAAACCTGGATTCTGTTTATCCCTTCATTTATTCTTTTATCTATTAAAAAAAATGTTAAGGCCAGAGGGGTCAGCAGATGGCGTAATGGCTATGTCGCTGGACTCCCACGTAGTCGACCGAAGCTGGTGGCTTAAACTCATGCCGGGTGCATGTGCGTGCGTGCCCAAGATCCCGAGAGGAGAATGGAGAAGGGATTGCGCATGGCCATTCCCCCTGGGGGGCGATTTCTCGCTTTCTGTCTGTCTCGCCAGTGAGCACACATGCACTATAACAAAAATTTTTCTTGAAAAAGAAATTATTGCCAGAGGGGTGTGTGCGCTTGGCCAGAGAGAGAGACAGAGGTGGGGGAGCACCTCTCAGTGGCCACACAGTCCTTTTCTCTCCACCCTCCTCCTTCCAGACTTCTGGGCATGTGCGCACATAGGCCTGGTGTTTGTCAAGGCACTGGGGCTAGGGCTTCAACCATGGTTGGCCATGTGGGATCCAGTTCCCAGTGCAGTGCCCAACCACTGTGCTATGGGTCTGGCCCTCTTTGTGTCCTTTAGGTAGGAATTCTTGGGGTGCAAACACTCCCTACTAACCCAACACGACCGTCTAGCCCTGACAGTCTAGAAAGACCACTCTGCTGCACCAGCTGGGAATGGGTGTCCCTCCCAGCTCCCTTCATGGTATGTCGGGGCGAACTGGCCCGGGTGCCCTATTTGGCGCAGCCCTGACTGAGCGTGGAAGGACGAGCTGCCTGGTTAGATGCGAGGTGGGCGCGTGGCTGTTAGACCCTGCGCCCGGCGGTGCTTAGTCGCAGCAGGCTTCCTCTCCTGTTCAGAGCACAGGAAAATAAAAATATATTGGATTTCATGAAACCATATCTAAAAGAAACACATCATCTCCCCGTTTTTTATTACTTTTTAAAAAGTCTGTGGGCCGGCAGGTGGTGTGATTAAGGGCACTGGACTCCCACATGGCCGACCACAGTTCAAGTCCTGGACCTGGCAGATTGCTTTCTCCCCCCCCCCCCCCCCGTCAAATTTAAATAAACAAATAAGTAAAATGATTATCTTAAAAATTACTTTTAAAAAAAGTTTTTTATAGGGTGTGTGCACTTGCCTGAGAAAGAAAGAGAGGTAAGTGAAAAGCACCTCCCTCCCCGGGAGGGAAGGCGGCCATGCCATAATCCTTTCTTTTCCTGTCTCCTCTTGGGAGTTGGCAGACGCACCTGCTACGATTTTCAAGCCACTGGGTTTGGGACTCAAACAATTGGCCATGTGGGATCCAATCACCCTAGCCTCCGTGCCACTTAGCTGGCCTGAAGGTGTCATTTTCTAATTTCAATGAGTAAGGGACAGCCGCTAGCTAATAACGTTAACGGATAGGAGAGTGTGGCGCTGCGTTGCCAACTCCTTGGTTCTTTGGGTTCAGATCACTAAAATTAGAGATCTGTCTCTAGGCGCAAAGTGAACCCGCAACCAGGAGTGAAGCAGGTAGGAAAGAAGAGTCAATAGGAAAGAAAGGAAGTACACCCAAAAGGCTCTCAGGCGGGCAGAGGGCCAGGTGGCCACGTGCTCAGCACCGGCCAATGTTCATTTTATTACTCAAGGTTGTCAATATTCACTAGTGGGAGGCCCCTTACGCTGCCTAGGTCCTTCCTTTGAATTCGAATCCACACGGTCTTTCCTGCACCTGTGCACCTTCCTCACTGGTAAAAAATGGGGAACTTGATCGCCTAATTGCGCACGCCCAGTGCGAGCCAGGTTGCCCCAATTAGATGCCCAATTAGTCCGGTTGACCAAAACGCTTGCCTAGGTCTTTTTGATAAAAGAAAAATCTACGAATCATCCCTGTGTGCTTCCCTCAGGCCCCAAGCAAGGAAGAAGGCAAATTGCCTCACCCTCCTGGCTCCCGGAGCTAGATGAGCCTTTCGCTTTTCTCCCCGGCCTAGTTGGTGGCTTTGATGCCTCTGCTGAGGGCTGGGACTTACTAAACAAAGCACGGGACCCTCCTCCAGTCCCTCTCCCTCTTCTCTCTCTGGAGCCCTGGGTGGCCAGAGAGGGGTGTGGGGGTTGCAGCTCCTGAGCACCCCTGAGGCCCTGATGCCTCCCTGGAAGATTGTCGTTTCTGCTGCGAAGACATGGGACCAGCCTGTGTCCCACCCGAGCTCCCTGGCAGGCTGGCGAGGCCTCCTGTCACAATCACATGTGGGACACAAAGAGCCTGAACTGATGTTCCCAGAACCGGGCTCAAGGGGCGCGAGGAGACGCTCTACCCTCCGCTTGCCCTGCGCACTTCTGCCACGAGGCCTCCGCCTCCTCGTGTCTGACCTCACGCCCAGGGGGCCTCTGGTCCCCGCCCTTTCCCTTTCAGGAGATTCAGTGTCACCGTGCTTGTCCATCCCCTGGTCAAACCCAGCGAACCATGTCCTCGGTAAGGTGACGTATGCTCTCACCTCCGGCGTTCCTGTCCACTGTGAAAACTGTCGAACCTTGACCAAAAGGAGCCAGGGGGGCCTTGGATGGAGGCCCACACACACGTATGCCTGGTACTTCATTTTTAACTAATTTAACTACTTACTTTATTTATTTACTTTTGCTATGGAACGGTACACTCATTAGAGACAGAAAGAAACACCCCAAGGAGGACGGTCACGCTGCAGCCCTTCTCATCCTCCCCATTTTGGGTACGCATGCACAAACACCCAGCATCATTTTCTTTATTTTTTTTTAAAGATGTTTTTGTCTTAGGATGTGTGTGCTTGCTAGAGAGAGACACGGTGAGTGGGAACATGAGAAATCAACCCCTCCCTGGGCAGGGCATGGCCACGCTGCAAGACCTTCTCCATTCTCCTCCTGGGACCTTGGGCATGCATACAAACGTGCCCTGTGTGGTTTTGAAGTGGCCAGGTCCAGGATGCAAACTGTGGTCGGCCATGTGGGAGTCCAGTAACATAACCGCTATGCCATCTGCTGGCCCCCAGGAATGATTTTCAGGCTGCCAGGTCCAGGGCATGGACCACAGAGTCGGTCATGTGGGACCCAGTTGCCTTAACGTCTAGCCACCTGCAGGGCCCAACGCACATGTCTGATGGCGAGACCTGCCCCAGACACTGCCGAAACCGCACCTCGTGCGCGGGCGCTGGCACCTGACACGGACCGCATCAAGGCAGCGGCCACCTGCATGGCCTCAGAGGGCCGCCCTGTGTAACTGCTCCGAGGCGGCCCGCTCCCTCACATCTGCTGCTGTAGGACGGAATCTGGGTGTTCCAGTTCTCCCGCCTCAGCTTCCTGAGTGGGCAGAGCCACAGGGGTGCACGGCCACCTCTCCGTCCTGGTCCCCCACCTCTGTCCTCCCGGCTCTGTCCTCTCTCCGTCCTGGTCCTCCATTATAGTCCTCCCGGCTCCGTCATCTCCCTGTCCTGGTCCCCCATCTCTGTCATTTCTGTCCATCCTCCTTTGCTGTCTTCTCAGCTCTGCCATCTCTTCGTCCTGGTCCCCCATCGCTGACTGCCCTCCATCTGTCATCTTGGCTCTGTCGCCTTTCGTCCTAAAACGTCAATCAGCCCTCTGTACTCGCCCGCGCCCTGCCTGCAGCTGTCTCTGGAACACAGCACCGTGGACATCCGGTCCCCGTCCTGCCGTGCCATAAGGCCTGCCTGTCGGTACACTGGGGTATTGCCGATCCAGCAGTCCGCTCTGGTGGCCACCTACCCCTCCTGGGTCGTAACTGAGGCTTTGTCCTCTGGCCTGCCTCATGACCCTAAATGCTTTCGGCCTAGCTTCATATCCGGACCCTTGTGCTGTGACTTTCCTGGGCTCATGCCACCTCAGCCACCCTGGCTATTTCTGTGGGACACTGCCAGGGCAGCAAGACAAGAGGAGGCACCCGGACTGGAAAGGGCATAACCACCCCCTTCACAGACCACGTGCCCGTCTGTAGGAATGCACTAAAAAGGCGACCAGGCCTACTCACTGGGCCCAGCGAGGCTACGGTGCACGGGCTCTTTCTCTCCCCTCCCTGCACACTTCATCTGTCAGTAAATGGCCCCTGCTTATTTCTTGCCCTCCCACCGGTCTCCGTCCAGGAAACACAAAGAGCCCTTCTAGCATCAGGCCATCCTCGCCTCTGCTCCAGGTCCTCGGTGGCCCCCCACTCCGCCATCACAGCTCTGACACTCCTCCGCCAGCCCCGGCCCCACTTCCCACTAGCCTCTTTGCCCCGGTCTAGACTCGGTGACTCTCCCCCTTGGGGCTCTGCCTGCTGTACCCCTACCCAGGGTGCCGCTTCCCCACGTGACCTTCACTTCTTGGTGGCCTTTACTCGTGTCCCTTCCTGAGGCTTCCTGGACTGCCCGCCTGGTGCTTGTTCTCTCCATGGCGACTGTGACCATGTGCCACAGGGCGCCCGTCCTGTCCTCCCTGGAGCCTGAGCTCCAGGACAGTGTCCTCTGCACGTGAACTAGCCTCTGAAAGGACACCTGGGTCCCTGAGCTCCCACCCCCTTCCCAGTCTTCCTTCTGGTACAGGGTGACTGGGCCAACACAGAGGTAGAGCCACGGCCTCCCTCTGTCCTCAGCACTCCTGCTGTCCTTAAGGCCCTGGCCACAGATCTTTGCTTTGGCTGCACGGCTCTCATGCTGTCACTATGAGCTTCTGGTTCAGTGCGGGTGCTTTGAGGCCGGCTTTAAGAGGCTGACCTCAGAACCCCTTCTGGGGCCCGAGGACGAGTTCTGATAGTCTCCAAACTCCACCTGCCCTGGATCTGGGCTGGAGACCAAGACACATGCCCACCTGGGCCTGAGAGAAAGCCTGCATCTCAGGCGGGGCCCCTGCAGGCAGCCCCAGGCTCCCAGGGTTCCCTCCAGTCCCTGACGGCTGCAGGAGGGGCGCTTACCCTGCAGGTGGGGTCCCCTCTAGGCTCTCAGTACTGGGGGAGCACACCCTGGGGCGGGGTCCCCTCTCTAGGTCAGAGTGCTGCAGGGGAGGCGTGCTCTCGAGCGGGGGACCCCCTTCAGGCTCCCAGTACTGCAGAGGGGTGCGTACCCCCGGGACAGCCCCTGGGCGGGGTCGCCTCCAGGCCTGAGCCAGGCTGGGGCGGCGTCCGCTGCTCTTCGCCCACTCGGAACGTCCCTTTCCGAGTCGCGGTCGGCCGGCGCGCAGGGTCAAATCCGTGCGGTATGGAGGGGCGCGGAACCTCGGGGGTTTCGGTGAGGCTTTCGGTCCTAACGGGCGGCGGCGGACGGGCCAGCCCCCGGGGAGGAGGAGGCGCGGCTCGGCAGCCCCCGCCCC